CCCCCCCCCCCCCACACACACACACACACACACACACACACACTGCAGACTTTATCTCAGCAGAACAAACACAAAAGTGGAAATCTGATCCGTTTGCGTCAGACTGAACTCATGTTTTATCTTCCTGCTCAGATTCAACAGATCAGATGATGCTCCTCATCTGAAGTTCGGCTCGTTCCACCCTAAGCTTCGGCTCATATAGGGCCAGCAGCTGAACGAGCAGTGGAGAATCTGACCTCTGTTTCTGCTTCCTGCTCCACTCGTTCTGTTTCTTCTGGTAAACGTCATGTTTTCTTGTTTGTGTTTTGATAAACATCCATCCATCCATCCATCCATCCATCCATCCATCCATCCATCCATTTTCTTTACCTGCTTGTTCCATTTTGGGTCACGGGGTCGCTGGTGCCCATGTCCAGCACTCACTGTGCGAGGGGCGGGGGACACCCTGGACAGGTCTCCAGTCCATCACAGGGACACATAGAGACAAACGAGACAAACAACCATTCACTCTCTCACTCACACCTAGGGACAATTTAGAGTTACCAATCAGTCTAACATGCATGTTTTTGGTCTGTGGGAGGAAACTGGAGCACCCGGAGAAAACCCACGCATGCACGGAGAGAACATGCAAACTGCACCCAGAAAGGCCCCTGGACCGGGGTTTGAACCGGGGACCTGCTCGCTGAGAGGCAGCAGCTCTACCAGTTGTGCCACCGTGCTGCCCCATGATAAACATAATAATCATAATCATCATTAATAATCATCTTTCTTTGTCAAATCAGGTCTCTCTTGTAAATGAGTCCTCGAGGCTCAGTGGGATTTACCTGTAGAAATAAAGGTTGAATGAAAATAATAAAAAGTAAGGCAGCACGGTGGATCAGTTGGTAGAGCTGCTGCCTCTCGGTCACCAGTTCAAATCCAGAGCAGGCGCCGTGCTCGTGCAGACGTAAAAGCAACTCTCCAACTCACACACATTTTTTAACACTAGTTACTAATAAACATCCATAAACTTTAACTAAATTCCCCTGACACCTGTCCAGGTGTCCCTGTGATGGACTGAAGACTTGTCCAGGGTGTCCACCACCTCTCACACAGTAACTGTTGGATATGGGCACCAGTGACCCCATGACCTGAAAAGGAACAAGTGGGTAAAGATAAAGGATGCATGTATGTATGTATGCATGGATGGTGGTTGATGGATGGATGGATGATGTATATATGGATGGACGGATGATGGATGGTGGATGATGGATGGACGGATGATGGATGGATAGATGGATGATGGATGATGCACGTATGGATGATTGAGTGGATGTATGATGTATGGATGATGTATGTATGATGGACATATGATAAATAATAGACGTTAATTCTGCGTTGTGTTTTCAGCCTGCAGGTTCTCCTCCGCTCATCACTTCATGACCTCAGATTTAATTTGTTTCAACAATCAGAGTAACGAGAGATGAGTCGTTAGACCTCCTCCAGATGTTCCGTCAGCTTTGATAAACCTCCTCCAGATGTTCTGTCAGCTTTGATATACCTCCTCCAGATGTTCTGTCAGCTTTGATA